TGATAATCTCCAAATGACAGTAATTACCATAGTATCTGGCATGATAATCATCCGAAAACCCCCCGCTAGCCGCTAGCATTATCATTATTAGGGGAGAATATTCCTGGGGACAATCACAAATAAAACCCATTAAAGCAACCCGACCATCACCATGGAAACCGACGCACAACTCGCCGTGACACTTCTCATGATCTTCTCCACTCTCCGTCATAGCTTCACCTCATGAGGAAACATAAAAACTGACCTGGAGGTGGTTGTAATGATCAACGAACATCATTGGGAATCAACCCCGATATGTTTACAGGATATGGTGAATAAACATCAAACAACCACCGATGCAACATTAACCAAACATCATTTGGGCCTATTAATTGGGGAATAAACAAACATTTGGTAATGTTAACATTTGTTAACCACCATCATTTGTAATTAATAAACAACCACCGGTGTAATAGACATCATTTGGGATAAACTATCCTGAACACCGCCCCAAGGGAATCAACAAAAATCTCTCCCTTGCTCGACGGAGGATCTATGAATGGACGGATGGATGATCGATAGAGAAATGGACATATTCTGGTTGGTGGTGCAATAACCATCTGGAAAAGTATCAGTTCGTCAATGGGAAGGATTATCCCATATATTATGGAAAGTAAAATTCATATTTGAAACCACCAGCCAGTATTTGATGCATCAACAAGGCTTTTAGCTTATGAAGTGAGCCGATATGTGAACACGATTCAATCGATACGTCATCATTGGCAACAAATCCTGAGATTCACAACCTCCAAATCTCCAGTGAATTCATGATTCTTGGCAAGCGTGATGCCTCCACAAGCTGAGATTCGCTGATTTCGGGATACTTACCCGCTATACCTCTGACATCATTTCCACTGACATCGAAGTACGGTCAGCGAAGGGGGGCCTGCGGCGTTGGGTTTGATCGGAAGCAGATCTGAATCAAGGATCAAATCGCTTGAGCCAAAATGGCTAGTTGAGGGACTCGGTGACTAGGTTGGGGCAAATGCAGAATCTAAGGTTGCTAGCCTTTCACGTGAAGAAAAGGGCAAAACAAATGCTGCCCACTGACAAGATGGTGATTTCGCCCGCAAAGTTCAGTCCAAAATATTCCAATCATGTTCTGGTTTATTAGGGGGATCACTAACCACCGGCAACCATTAATAAGGCCGAACCTGAATCGTCGACTTCGGGGGGGTACCGACTTCCGAGGGGCTCGAAGGGCCCATTTTGCCATGCAAACGACCCCAGGTTTTATTTCAACAAGACACGGATGGTATAAACCATCCCCAACTGTAGAATCACCATGTGTTTTTTCCTTGGCTTTTCCACTTCAATTTTTACATCAATATACCAAGATAATCCCATGCCCTTAACATTAAACATCCTCATTGTAGGATCCCAAACATGATAAACATCCATAAACATGTGCCCCATCATCCCCTATGAAGAAACCATGGATTTCTGGCTTCTGTTTAATCTACACATAAATGGAAATCTCAGGATCCTAAAATGGAGCTACTGTACCATATAAGGCCACATTTTGTGGGGATATCCCCTTACATAGGCCTTGTATAGGCCTTATACATGGTGGCCATTGAAAACCGGCTTTTCTCCGTTTTCTCGATGGGCCTTGAGGCCGCCGATTCGACTGTTGCTCAGGAGCTCAGCTGGCGATCAAAAATCATCGCGAAAATAGCGGCCTTTCAAAAGGCCAGACTTCGCAGCGCGCTGCAACCTTTAAAAAACATGTGTGTCATGTAGTAAACTCCAATATATATTGAAGATTATTGAAGTATATATTGCATATGTAAAATTATATAAACGAAATACATTGCATGCCCCGTTTGGAAAGCAAATTCCTCAAAACACGAGCACCGGTTGCATATTCCGCGGGCGGGCCCAAGAATGGGAATTTAGACCCAATTTGTGGCAATGCGAATGGGACAAAAAACATAAACACGGACAAAATATGCAATTTTATGCTCCAACGGACACTCTCTAGCTCTGCCAGGTTTCTGTTGAACTACTGAAGCACTTAACATTACTTAAATCAGATTCCTTGATTCTGAGATTCGTAAATAGCATGCAAAACCTGCATAGGTAGCATCTGCAAATGTGGATACTAGCTATACCAAGGTTTAGCCAGTTAAGAACCTAACATCTCCAGAATCCACCACTTTTCTACCATTTGTTTGCAAGAAGAAATATGGCCAATGGCATGGCTGGGTCCCGGGGTCCATTCTCAGGCTTCAAGGAGAATGGCTTCTTGATCTCTCAACTTGCTCTCCTTTGGCCGCAAATCATGGATGTCTGGTGGTGTCTTGATTCCTGGACCCTGAAAAAATCTTGGGGAGAACAGCGTCCAACTTTTCTCAAGGAAACACAACCTCCCACCATTTGGGGTCATTTCCTTTGAACAGCTTGGCGATTCAATGGGAAAACTGGCACAAAATGGTTCAACCAATGGAGCTCCCCGCCAGACATGGACATGAACAGGAACAAAATGAGAAACAAGTTACATCATATATGTATATATATATACACACCTATTCATATATAATATCTTATATATGTATATGTACAGTAAAGAAAGTCCTTCAGGATGCACATGAACTTATAATGATTTTTTCATGGCTCAAGTGAGCATAAAAAGTAAGAATTAAAGCGTAAATCTAAGTAAAAAATGCTATGAGCAAAAACAAAGGGCCAATTGAAAGTCCAGGATGGTCCAGTAACCGTTAGGAAACCGCCCCAGTATCCCCCAGTAACCACCCAAAAAAAATGCGGACAAGCAATTCATCGCTAGGATATGGTAGGATCCCAATTCCTATCGTTGCGGGCTTGCAGAGGTTGCTATCGTTGCTGGCTGCCCAAAATAAAGTGTTTCCAGGATGCTGATTCGATGATGTTATGTCCAGGTGTCCAACCTTTTTGGCATCTATTTAGGGGGTACTGATATTTACATACATAGTTTTCCTTAGTACTATATCAACCTATATCAACCTATATCAACCTATATCAATCTATATCAATCTATATATATCATACTTCGGGAACAACATGACATTGAACTTCAACATCTTCAACCATCCAAAATCAAGCTATCCCCCGAGAGGTCCGAAGACTGCATACAAACTCGAGAGTTTCCCATGGTTCATTCCAAGCTCTCACATTCCCTACCGCCCGTTCAATCACCATTAAATCGCCATTGAATCCCCATTCAACCCTATCATGATTCCATTAATTCCCCCTTAAATCACCATTACGTTCCATTTAACACCATTAAATCCGGATTCAACCTCATCATAATCGCATTAAATCCACATCAATAGTCCTACTAAATCTCCATGAAATCCCACTCAACCCCATCATAACCTCATCAAATCCCATAAAATCCCCATAAAATCCCCATCAAATCACCATCAAATCCCATCACATCCCATCACATCCCCATGAAATCCCCACGAAATCCGAAATCACCACGAAATCCACCAAAAACGCCCGAGTTCGGCCCAGCATCGAAGCCACTTCCCAGGACCTCGCCCCCACCGAAGGCGATGGGCGTCTTGCCCTTGACGCCCATGGGATCTTCAGGCACCTGGGCTAAGAAAGGTCTGGCAACAAATATGGCAGGATTTTTTCAAGATTCTCTGGTTGCTGGTTGGTATACCTACCCCTCTGAAAAATGATGGAGTGAAAGTCAGTTGGGATGATGATGATTCCCAACTGAATGGAAAAATAAAACATGTTTCGAACCACCAGCCAGTTGTAGATGTAATGGCGAAAGATGATGAGTAAGTGTAAGTATCCTCAATTGTGGGATATATATATATACTGTAAAAACTCCTGCAGTAAAACCATGTATTGTATATATCATCGTACTACTCTGTAGCGTTGGTTCAAAAGGATCAAGAGCTTAGCGGCTTATTGTGGTTTAGCCCCATTGTTATTGTAACATTGTTGGCTGACCTGTGAATATACAGGTTATCAGCCGTAGTCTCACTACTTTGCTATGGGGACCCCAACTGACCTTCCTCTCGCCGTTCCAGGGTCAGGTCCATCGGCCATTGCCGTGCCCAATGTGGCCGGAGGCAACTCCGAGCCGATGGATGACGAGACGATGTTCCAACCTGTCGTAGCGTACTTTACATTCATACAAAACAACCTATCCCAAATCACTAGTGGGAATACCCTGCAAGTCATGAGGGAAGCTGAACAGAGGCACCTTCAGATAATGCATGGAGTAGTTGACTCAATCCGAAGTGACTGGTCAAATAGGCTCGTAATGCAAGAGCAGGAGTATGAGCAAAGGTTGCAGGATGTAGAGAACAAGGCAATTGGAGCAGTCAATGAGGAAAGGAAAAGAGGCGACGAGTTAGAGGTCAGACTTAGTCAGGCTCAGGCATCGCATGACAAAAGGGTAGAAGACTTCAAGGTAGAGGCAAACACAAAGCATGATCAGAAGATTGCAGAGGAAAGGCAACGTATCACTAGTGAATTCGAAGCATCCTATGCACAAACAGTTGAACATGCAAAGAGTGCCATAGCTGCCACGAAGAAGCAATATGAAGATCAGGCTGCAATTGATCAGGCCAGGTTCATTAGTTTGAAAACGGAATTCGAAAACTACAAGAAGGAAATGGCCGAGAAGATCAATGAGGCAGCGGCTCAGAATCTCAGCCTTCAGGACCAGATCGATGACCTTCAGGAGCAGGTAAAGCATGTTGCCAAAGCGCAGCATGCCTCCGTTCCGAAAGCATCCGTCCAGAATGCCGAGCCAGCCGCTACCGCTAGCGTGCCCCACTTCAACATTGCCACTCCTAGAGCATCCGATGCACAGGCTGCCAAAGGCAGTGATGAGCCGATCCAAGAGTTGAAGACGCCTGCAGTGTTAGCACAAGAAGCAAAAGCCAAGTTGGATGAGCTGCTCAAAGGTGGCAGTTCCCAGCAGAAACCGGCTGTCGGCAACGACCAGCCCAATTTGCCGACACAATCAGGGTTTTTCACTCCCACTGAAGCTATCAAAACTCCCCCAAATGACTCTCCTAAGAGCGTGACCAAGCAACAGCAAGTGATGGGTCCCTCAGATCTTATCGAATTGGTGAAAGCCTTCACCCATAGGGAAGAAAAGGATAAGCCAAAGACTAAGGAGGCCGAGATCATCAAGCTGAACAACATGCCCGCTCCGGAGTCATACAGGACTTGGAAGAACCATGTCAGGGATGAGGTAAAGAGTTGCTCAGATCGTCCAGACGAAGCATGGCTTTGGCTCAACGAGGTGTACGATCAGGAGTGCACCAGAGAGCAGTTGGAGAAGAAGCTTCAAGATCCTGGGAAGTTCCTTACGCTGGATACAAAGCTATCAGCAGCGCTCACGCGCTCAGCCGGAGGGGACCTCGCAACTAGGATCCTGAATTTCAAAGAGCAACAATCCCGAAAAGGCATCCAGGTCAGGGGAAGGTATGTTTTGCTCATGTTTGAGGACTACTTCAAAACATCTGAAGAAGCAGGTAGCCTTTACAGAGTAGAAGACCTTTCGGGTGTTGTCAAAGTAGGCGATACTGTCCAGGATCTCAGAAGATTCATCAACAAATGGGATGCTACCCTAGCTGGCATGGCTGTCACCCCCGATGATGCTGTGTTAAGGGACATCTTGTTGAGACAGATCCGACCAAGTCAGTTGCTGAAATATGACATCGAGATGTTTGATCGTGCACATGAAAAATCCCATGAAAAGTCCTATAGTTTTCTTCACCAATCCATGAAGAACTTGATCGACCGTGAACGATTGAGGGAAAACAGGAACCGCATCGCGGAGAAGAACAAGGCTGGGATTAAGGACACAAAGGCCGCACCCGCCAAAGGCGATGGTCGCGGTGGCCGAAAGGGCTCTCCGAGTCGCGGTAGATCGCAGGAACGAGGTGGCAAAGGTGACAAAATTTGCTACAAGTTTCAAAAGGGTACCTGTGATAAGGGGAAGAAGTGTCCATTTAAGCATGTCAAAGATGATAAGTCTCGAACTCAATCACCGAGAAGAACCAAAACACGTTCACCGTCAAGGGGCAACAAAGATGATAAGGGGAAGAAAATGTCCAAGGAAGAAATGGCCAAGACCCCATGTATCTATCATGCCCAGGGAAAGTGCAGACGTGGTGACAAATGTTTTTATAAGCATGATGACAAAGCTGCTGCCGCCACCAAAGACACCAAAAGGGCCAATTCGCCCGCTCCCAAAAAGAAGAGCAAGGATTCTACAGCCGCTCCATGCCTGATTCAGAAGTTTGCCTGTATCGTCCGAAAACAGCCGAAGGCAACTTCGTGCTCTGATGAGTCAAGTGTCAGCATGAAGCGTCTTAGATTCCGAAAGGTCCCACATGTGATCGAGGTGAAGGCAGTCGGTCGTCAAGTCCCCGTCAAGCACCGTCCAAGAGAGTTCACTAAGGTGTACAAGACAGCTGATGATGTTCCAGTTTCGTCTAAGGTTGAACAACATGAAGCTCAGGTTCGTGCAAGACAGCTTCAAGAAACTGTGAAACTTCATGATTCAGATGTTGCACCTAGTTGTGGGTTTTGTTGTTGGAATGAGGACACATGTGACATCACTTGCAAAGAATGCAGATTCGTCAGCGGTCCCAAAGCTCTCAAAGACATTGGTCGTTTTCCGTCAATTGCCACGGCTGCGCCAAAGGCCGGCGTCAGTTGGCTTGTTGACTCAGGTAGTGAATCCGATCTTGTGTCCAAGGGTATGCTGAGGGATGTTAGCGCCAAGAACTGCCGTGCAGCCGAGCATCCGATTTCCTTAGTTACAGCCAACGGTTCGACTGAGGCAAATGAGGTTGCAGATGTCAAGTTATCCGCATTGCCAGATCCCGTGCATCCGTATGTACTTGATCATACCCCAGCTGTGCTCTCCGTAGGAACTAGATGTGTAGATCAGGGTTACAGTTTTGTCTGGCCTGCCAACGGCAAACCAATCCTAGTCCGTCCAGATGACAAGGTTGTCCAGCTCAAGATCGAAGGTCATGTCCCAGTCTTGGATGACAGTTGTAAGGTCTATCCCAAAGATCAATTTCAAAAGGATAAGCACCTTAGGAAGTTGTTCGCAATGCCGACCTCACGGTCGAGCTCAAAAGCCAAGCGGGACGAAGCCCAAGATGAAGAGCAATTGGATGAGCTGGTGGAGGATGACGCTCAGCAGGAGTACATCCGAAGCCGCAAGACTGAGGATCTGCTGGCCGAAGCTGCAAGTACCCAACATCAGTATACTCATTTCCCCAAGAACCCATTTTGCAGAACCTGCCAACGAGCAAGAATGATGGCTCCTCAGGCAAGGAAGAAAGGTGGTCAGAAGAGAATTGAAACTGAAGTGTTCGGTGACCACATCATTGGTGATCATGTCATCATTAAGAAAAATGTAGAAGAGGGTTTCAGGGGGGAGCAAGTTGCATTGGTGTTGAAAGATCTGCACTCGATATGTCTACCCTAGCCAGTCCAAGGACTCACAAAGCTGTGTTGATGGTTTGAATCGCTTCATTGGATCAAAGGATGATGTTCAAGTTGTGTACACTGACAATTCCCCAGAATTGATCAGGGCCATCAAGGATTTGGGTTACAGACATCAAACTTCTATTGAATATGTGGATTCATCAAAGTCCTTTGCTGAGCGCGAGGTTCGCCAGATGTTGGAAGGTGCCCGAAGCAACTTGTTGCAATCAGGACTTCCTTTGAAGATGTGGCCATTAGCCATGCAGCATCATGCGACCGCGATCAATGCAAGCCCCCAGCTTGACGGCAGTGAATCCCCGTGGCAACTCAGGTTTGGTGAAGAGTTCCCTGCAATGCACATTCCATTTGGTGCCAAAGTGTTGTTCTGGAATAACCCCAAAAGGTTGGACAACACCTCAGGTAAACTCTCCCCAACAGCAAATGAAGGAATTTTCCTTGGGTATTACATCCAACCAGGTCATGATTGGAAGGGTGAATACTTAGTTGCCAAGTTGGAAGCCGCAGATTATCATGTCAACTGGGGTGCACTGACAATCCAAAGAACAAAAAGGTTGGAATTGCCATCCGAGGGTTTCATCTTTCCTTTGAAAGCTCTGATCGACTCGAAAGCACCCAAAGCCGACCGCCTTGAAGATCAGGTCATTCCGCAGACTCCCAAAACTGTGCCAGTTGAGTCTAGTTTGCATCCGCCACAAGATGAGTATGAATATGAGCCAGGGACGCCTCTACCAGCCGACAGCGATGTCGAGCCTGATGCACCCGAAGCGCCTGTATTCCCAGATCTCAAATTGACCCCCAAAGGTGAAATTATTCCAGATGGATATCATTGGGATGGTCACCGGATTGCACGTAACTACAAAGGTTCAAAGCGTCCGGCAGGGATTGACTCAGAACTGTGGAAGATGTTAAACCCCCAAGAAAGGAAACAGATCATCGAGGAGGAAGCCAAGAATGCAGCCAAGGAGCAGGAGGAAAAGCCAGCATCATCATCTGGCAGCAAGGGCAAAAAAGAAGAAATCTTCACCAGCCCGGCTTGAGGCAACTCAATGCCCTCCTGCAACTGCAAAGCTTGTAGGCAATGTTTGGGAAATC